GTGTTCATGTCAATTAGGATGTATCTTAAACCATGAACCGACTGCGTGTAGTCCACTAGTGACACCTGACTGGGTAGTTCATTGTTAAGTCCAAAAATCCACTGAAGGACTTGTGTCTCAATTTGCTGAATGTTTTCTGAATGGTTTGACCACACTAAACCCTGTAACCCTCTAAGTCTGGGTATCGACTTGATGCATTCAGTTGTCGTTGAAAATCCTTTCCACCTTAGATCTACAACATAAGAGCGGTCTGTGCGTACGGCAATGCTATGGTATTTACATACATTGGCTCGCACTGTATGTGAATCAATCAAGGCCATTGCCACTGCTTCTCCGTACATTCGGTTTCCATATTCTGGTAATAAAACCGCGTGTTTACGAGATACTACGTAAATTGCACTGCAGTTATCGCGGCCTGGGAACATATCAATTGTTATGGTAACTGGAATGTCATTCCTGCGGGTTACTGGACAGACAAAGTTGAATTGATCCAATACAGCAACAGGTGTGTCAAGTAAACACCCAAAGTGGGATGGGGGTTTTGTGTAAACATACAGACCTGGTGGCAGTGTGGTAGACTTTTTCAATTGTAACACAATGACTGCTTCACAGCCTTTAGAGTACATCCTACCACGATTTTGTATCAGCCATTTGTATGCCGTTACGAGTATGTTAAATTCATATGCCCGGAGAACATTGACTCCATTAACAGACTTTTCTTCCTCCGCAGAATCGACAGAATTATTTCGGCGCGTGTCCTCGTCGCAAAAAGAAGAGGGTGAGCAGCCGTCCCGGGAGGTTACAGTTTGCTGAGAACATAAACACACGGAGCTGTATTTTTGTTCCTTGTAATACACTTCACGCCTTAACAGCGAGAGTATGTGTCCAATATTGTACCTATGATCCACGCAACAAGGGCCAACATCCATTTCCGACAGCCTTTGCACCTGTATGCCGTTTGCCCGAGGGACACAGAGGACTTGGTTAATCACCGGAACTGGATCCAGAGAGAGTGCTTTAAACAAGATGCAACACAGTCCAGTAGTGTCTGCCATGGCTGCCACTAAGGAATTTTCCTCCGGCTTTACCGGGACTGTTCCACAGAATCTGCTGAGAGAATTTGATTTAATGCGCAAAGAAGGCACAGGCTTCAAATACAATACAAGTCTTTATAGGAGAGTGGCTGCTCTTCACTACAGGACAACTGGGGGAGATGCTCCAAATCCATCCAGCAGCAAGTGTTTAGTTTGCTTTCGAACACTGTCCCAGAGTAGCAAAACTGCCGAAAAGGGAGGGCATAAGTTGCAGTGTCCCTGTAACGTGAGAGTGTGCTCAGTGTGTTTTAAAACTAACCCTGACTGGTATTTAACTGAGCCACATTACTCAAAATGTCCAAGTCTGAAGAGTTTTATTTGCCAAATATGTGCTTTATTTACCGGCTGTAAGGAAAAGGTCTGTTGCATCTGGATGTGCTCCAGATGTTCTGTTGAATATCAAAAACCTGGCGCCGAGTGTATGAAATGTTCCACTGCTCTCAGGACAGGTCGAAAGGGGAAAATTTGTACCTTGTGGAATGTCAGAGTAGGTCACCACTCAAGTCCAGAGACTAACAATGACAGTAACAGCGAGACTCGTGTTCGGCAATATGAAGAGGGTGGCGGATTACCGCGATTTGATCAGATCAAACGTGCTAAAAAAGGTGTCTCGAACAAGACACCTGTCCTACGTTGATATTAAACTCTTATTTCGTGAGTGTTGCACGTCTTCCCTGTGCACTTGTGTTTCGGAAAATGAGCAGAATCCACTGTGTCCAGGATGTACTCCAGTTTTGACTGTAATGCAAATGCTGTCTAAAAATGACCATCCACTCATTGCCTCTTTTGCTGAATATGCTATACCAGGCAGGGCGCTGGCACGCAATTTATATAAAAGAAATTTGCTACTTCAGATGATTAATGACTGTGATCTCCCGTCGTGTATCAATGGTCCTTTGTGTAAGGGTCTTTTGGTCAAAAGTGATTTGCCTGAGATCTCCAAGCCACTACCCTCTCTCATTTCACCGGAGTCGTACAAGGTTTTCAGAGCAGGTGATAGTAGAAGGACTGTACAGCTCCCTGCGTATTCCTGTATCCTCTGTCTCTTGTTTAACCAGTCAGCTGCCATTGGCCAAATGTTAAACCCTGAGTGTATCAGCTTTGAGTCAAATCCCTGTGGGCCTGTATATTACTTCAATATCAAATTGGCCCATGACATAGGTGTACCAGAAATACACATTAATAAATGTGGAGGATATTTAGTGAGCTTTCAAGGCGTAGCACCGTGCTTTGCACCT